CAACAAAAGCTGGACCATTGCTGATCCTACTACCTTAGGTATTCCAAATCTTAGGAAAATTTCCTCCAGTATTTTCTTAGCTACCACGGTTGAGGTCTCCTTATTGGTAGGGTAAGCCTCTACCCATCCTGAAAATGTGTCTATAAAAACTGGCTATGGTTGGAGCCGGTATCTGGACTACAGTTCTCTTCTGAGCCTCCCATGTCTGTCAGGTTTGCAGCTGAAATTCCGAGAACTCCAGAAGGCCTCTTGCCGGTCCTATTCCCACTGCCCAAGCCCTTGTTGCTGCTCTCTGACTGAGATGGATTTTAAAGGAGCCCTTTCCAAAAGGACCCACGAGGGGCTGGAAGGGCCCGGGAGGAAGCAGCGGTGTGGGGGGTTGCTGATGCTGTTGCTCCCCTCGGCTCAGGCACCCTGGAGGGACCAAGTCCTGCAGCGGGAATGGCACCAGAGGTAGTTCGGGCACAGAGTCTGCAACAGAAGCCGGCCACCCCCTCCTCCTCCCCAGGTTGCTGAGCTCCTCTTCTGAACAGCTGTTAGTCTCCAGGCTCTCGACCTCTGATTCCAAGCCTTCTAGGACCAGAGCGCATCGCTCCTCTCCATGGGGTCCTCCCTGGCCTGCAGGGTGGCAGCAGGCAGTGGGGGCTGTGGCGGCAGCGGCTGTCAGGGGACATTGGCACGGGCATGGGCAGCAGCCTCCGCCAGAAGTGTTGACCCTCGGCCCCACCAGCAGCCAGAGATCCAAAGCAGCCAGCTGTGCCAGGTCCGCTCAAGCGCCAAGCCTGGCGGGAGGGCCTTGGGACACAGCAGTTCCAAGGGTCCGGGCTCCGGGGCCACCTCCGTGTCCTCTTCCTCTGGTGGCCGCCCCACATTGTGGAACACAATCCGGGCAACCTTCAGGCCAGGCCAAGCGATGAAGAGTGGTGGTAATGAGCCTGGCTCGGGGGCCATCTCTCCATAGCCGAGGAGTCGGCCCAGGACCCCTTATAAAGTGGCAGCTACTGCCACCGCCTTGCAGTCCCAGAGCTCAGCCCCCTGCGTCCCAGAGTTTGTATTCATCTTCTAGTCTAACAGCGAGGACTTGCGATTGATTTCCCTGTTTATCAGTTACTGATGGCTGTTCAGAGTCAAAACGAATCTGGGCTCTTACTTTTGACAGAATGTCTCTTCCTAACAGAGGGTAAGGGCATTCTGGGATACCCGGCCCACACCAAGGTCCACTGTTGTTCGGGTAGTCCATGAATACTGTTATTGCCCTGTGGCACCCATTACCCAAGATGTTTTGTCTTTTAATTTTCCTAATGGCTGTATCAGCATGGAATGCTCCACTCTGGTATCCATCAGAAATTCAACTGGTCACCCCTCCACTTTCAAAGTTACCCTGGGCTCGGGGAGGGGGTCTGAACCCTATCTCCCCTAATCTTCATCGTCCCCAGGGCTAGGACCTTTGATCCCTTGTTTCTCTTCTTGGGGCAGTCCTTTGCCCAGTGCCCTTTCTCTTTACAATATGCACACTGGTCCTTGTCGAGTGGGGTCCTGTTGCCCAGGCTGTCTAGGGCCTGTTCTAAATTTCCTAACATTTCTCTCTCTCTCTTTACTATTTTTCCCTTCAACCACTGCAGCCAAGATTTTAGTCAAATTCTTTTCCTGTCTTCTGTCACTCTGTTTCTCTCTCCCCTTTTCTCTGTCTCTCTTTCCTCTTTCTCTCTTCTCTCTCCTTCTCTTCCTCGGTCTGCCTTTTGTAATACACTTTCTCTGTCTCTTCTCTCTCCTTCTCTTTTCTCTGTCCTCTCTCTCTCTCTCTCTCTCTCTCTCTCTCTCTCTTTCTCTCTCTTCGCTTCCTCAGTCTCCCTTTCGTAATACACTTTCTCTGCCTCTTTCACTAAATCACGTAACTCAGCTTCCTGTAACCCTTCCAGTCTCTGGAGTTTCTTTCTAATATCCGGGGCCGATTGACCTATGAAGGCTAGAGCCACTGAAGCTCTCTGGGCTTCTGAGGTAGAGTCAAAAGGAATGAACCGCCTGAAGGCTTCCATGAGCCTTTCGAGAAACACCGAGGGAGGTTCGGTGAGTCCCTGCATCACCTCTTTTACCTTAGCCAAATTGGTGGGCTGTCTCGCGGCACCTCAGAGACCCGCCACCAGAGCCTGGCGATAGACTTTCAAGCTCTCCCTACCTTTGCAGCTGCGTGGGCTGCTCAGCGGCCCCAGGGACTTTTTTTTTTTTTTTTTTTTTTTTTTTTTTTTTTTTTGCCTTTAATAGTATTCTCTCCCCTCCTCGGTTGTGAAGAGCGTCTGCAGCAGCTGTTGACAATCATCCCAATTAGGCTGGTGAGAGAATATAAGGGACTCCACCAACCCCTTAAGGCATTGGGGACCCTCTGAGAAAGGGGGGGTAGTTTTCCAATTATAAAGATCTGAGGAGGAGAAGGGCTAGTACTGGAGAGGCTGCAACTGGCCACCTGGCCTGGGGGGGGGGGGTAGGGGGAGTGGGGGACGCCAAACGTGCACAGTGGCAGGGTCACAACCCCATCTGCTCAGGCGTGGCTGCTCTCCAGCTTCGAGTTCCAGTAGCAGGTCCTCCCGTCGCCGGAACCTGAGCTTCAGGGGGGACAGAAGGTCCCACTGCGGCACCCTGATCTCTAGTTCATCCGTCCAGGTGAAGGGTCAGAACTGTATCAAGAATGACTTTGAGAAACACTGAGGAAGGATAGCGGTGGCCTCTGGCCGGTCACTTCACGGGGGCCAGAGCGGGGAGGGTGCCTGGTGTTCGCCCACTGCCCTGCCCATGGGCCCTCGGATGTGGCTCGGTATGGCGCCACGGTGGGTGTGGCGTACTCCTGGGGGCAGGCTCTTGATTGGGATGAGAGCCAGGTCCAGTCTGAAAAACAGTTGCCTTCACAGCTTGGATATTCTCAGAATTAAAAGGGTTCCCTCTGGTGGCCACCCAACACCGAATGTAGGCCACTCAGAGGTACAAAAAGTCTGCCAGATCTATTCCTAACCTCAACTGACAAATTATGGGCCCAAGACTTAACTTCAGTCCAGTGGCAAAGGGTCTCTAGCATACAAAGACCACTCAGTGTTCAGTGGCGTGACTCCCCCCACCCACCTCACAGGGAAAATGATACCCAGTCCCTCCATGTCGAATTTAAACCACTGGCTGACATTCACCACGCATGGGCAATTTCAAAAGGGCTCACAGAAGATTGCTCTCACCTCTCAGCTGCACGTCAGTCCCCAACATGAGCACTTTCTCAGCCAGCATTGGGACGTGGAGGCAGGGGCATGAAAAGTTTAAACCAGCTTGGTCTGTGATCCTAAATACCCCAAAGGGGTATGTTCAGGGTGAGGATGTGGGATGAGACGGTAAAGATAGAAAGTTTGGGATCAGTAGGTCTTTCATAAATGCATGCTTGTCTGGCAGGAAATAGGTCTGGAATGGAGTCATGTGAGGAAATTCTGAGTGCCTTAATACACCCTAAGAAAATAAGACAAGAGTCTTATACCTAAGTTTCTTCAAAAGACAGAATTGTTCTGGGAATGTGTTTTCATGTTCCGCCCTGCTGTAGATAAGAGTGAGTTTATCTCAGATCACTCATTGGTTTTATATATATGTGTGTGTGTGTGTGTGTGTGTGTGTGTGTGTATGTATATATATAATTTTTATTTTACATATCAATCCCAGTTCCCTCTCCCTCCCTCCCACGCCCCCCAACCCCCTTCCCATCCCACCCCACCCCCCACTCCACAGGGAGGGTGATGCCTTCCAGGAGGGAGCATCAAAATCTATCAAGTCATTTGAAGTAGGGACTAGGCCCTCCCTCCTGCCTCTAGGCTAAGGGAGTATCTCTCCATGGGGGATGTGCCCCCAAAGTCCTTTTTTTGCACCAGGGATACATCCTGGTTCCACTGTCAGAAGTCCCTTAGACTGCCCAGGCCTTCTGAGACCCATGTTCAGTGGGTCTGAGTCAGTCCAATGCTGGATTCCCAGCTATCAGTCTGGGGATTCACTAGCTCCCCCTTGTTCAGGTCAGCTGTCTCTGTAAACTACTGTAGCCTGGTCTTGACCCCTTTTCTTATCACTCCTCCCTCTCTGCAACTGGATTCCAAGAGGGTGGCTCAGTGTTTAGCTGTGGGTGTCTGCTTCTGTTTCCATCAGCTACTAGATGAGGGCTCTATGATGGTGGATAAGTTAGTCATCAATCTCGTTATCAGGGAAGGGCATTTAAGGCAGCCTCTCCACTGCTGCTCGGATTGTTAGTTGGGGTCATCCTTGCAGGTCTCTGGACATTTCTCTAGAGTCAGTTTTCCCTTCAAACCTACAATGGCTCCCTCTATTACTCATTATTGCTTGCTGTTATTCAACTAAATGTTTATGCCTCTGTGGAAAACATGTTTTTGCCATGTGTGACATGTCCTTGTGATTGTATACAGCCAGAACTCATGAGAGCTTCACTCATGTAACCTTTCTTTATTTGTAAATACTTGGAGACAGGATTTCTTTGTGTAACCTTGGCTGTCCTCATGTGACCTTTCCTAACCAGCAGACATTATACTGTCAGGGGCTCTGAATAAAGTTTGCTATTGCATTATGTTTCAGTCCACCTAAAATACAAGCTTCATTGTCCCAGGTCTCACTGCTGTAGAGTGGTGGCAGAGACCCACCCTGACCATGCCCCAGCCCCTCACTGGGAATTTTAGGTGGGGCTCCACCCCTGACCATGCCCCCAGCCACTGAGGAATTCTAAGCAGGGTCCCACCCTGACCAACACTCTGAGCCCCTCACCTGGGGATTCTAAGCAGGGACTTTACCCCTGAGCCACACTCTATTCCCTGGTTTCTTTAAATATTGCACTGCACTCAATTTACTGCCATAACTGTGTTTTGGGTATAGAATATCAGACTGTCTTCTGAGGCCCCCTGCCCTGGCCCAGTTCTCCACACTGGTTCTGTCTCCCTCTTATAGTGAGCTTATACTCCTGGGTGGACAGTAAGTGACATATTGGGAGTGCTGGGAGCCATGTGTGATGGGTCAGCTGGGAGCCATTGGTAAGGTTCCAGGCCAGCCTCCCAGTGTGTGATGAGTCCTGTTCATCACCCTGGGGGAGGGGAAGGTGGTCTCTGTGACTTCAGCTTGCAGAGGTGTAGGGTGGAGGCTGAACAGCAGAGCTGTGTCCTCAGTGGCCCTGAGCCTGCAGCCGCTGCATCTGCAGGATCTGGCTGAGAATGCACTGGACGTCCTCATCCATCTGTCCCTGTGGTGAGATAGGGGTTGACAGAGGCAGAGAAAAACCCTGTGTACCAGCTGAGTGCTCCTCTGGCCCCTAGAAATCCCCCTACTCCAACCCAAGGGAGTCAACACTGCATGAGACAGGTCTGTACACTGGGATGTTCCCAGAAGCAGAAGGGGAAATGGGCCCAGGCAGTGGCAAAGGAATCATGAAGCTGGGCTGGCACCGTGAGACAGTCAAGAGGCAGGGACTCACCTGAATGGCACACAGCAGATGAGAGCGGTATAAAGCCACCACAGCACCATGCTCCTGGGCCGCCTCCTGTGGACATGGGGGAAGGGGAGGCAGAGAGATCAGATGATCAAACTCATCCTTGGCTACACAGTGAAGTCATCTGAGATCAGCCTGGCCCACATGAGACCCTGCCTCAAAAGAAAAGTGGGTAGGAAGGAAGGGAGTGGAGGGAGAAGAGGAAAAGAGGGATAGCAGAAGCATCTGAAAGGGGAGGCCACCCACAGGAAGACACACCCACATGCCACCACCTGGGTCAAAGCCCATGTTCAGTGGCTGCTGATGTCCAAGTCAGGGCTGGTGCCCTAACCAGCCTGGAATCTGCCATCCATCCCCATCTGTACCCCGACCGCTCCATCTGTGGCTCCCATCATCCCTCCCCTGCTGCAAAGTGGTACCTCCATCCGCTGCTGCAAGGCTATCACCTGGCCTCGAAGGGCCTCCTCCTCCTTGGAGCTGGCAGGGGCTGCCTGCTGCGCCTTCAGAGACTCTTTCAGTGTGAAGACTTCTTTGGATAGTTCTGTGATCTAAAGTGTGGGGAACTCTGTGAGTCTCAAGGCAGGGGTCAGGGACCTCTGCACCTCTATTGGACAGCTTCATAAAGGGTCACTGATTTGGGCCAGGAGCTGAGCTGACTGGGAACTTGTATTTGCACAGCTGAAGGGCTGAAAATATTCCTTGAGTTTTTAAATGTTTTGGGGGAGAAGAAACACAAAGACCTATTTTGTGACCCTTGAAGGGATTCCTAATCACATCTGGATGTTCATCAAAGTTTTGACACAAGTCCCTGTCTTCTCACAGCAAACAGGAAGCAGACAACCTACAGGTCAGCAAATACTGTCTTTCTGGCCCTTCTGGGGGACACTAGTCTGGAGTTGCCTAGCTGTCTATGCTCAGTAACCCATAAACACAACTTGAGGTTTAACCTCTTGTCATGGGATGCCCAGTGTTGACCTGTGACCTCCACACATGCACATGCACACAAAGAGCACACAGAAAACAATACAACTGGCTGCCGGTGAAATGGTCCTGTGGGTAACAGCACGTGCTGCCAAGCTTATCTCTCTACCTGAGTTCAATCCCTGGGACCACATGGTTGAAGAAGAAAACAGATGTAGGCAAGTTGTCCTCTAAACTCCACATGCATGCCCCAACCCCCAACTAAAGAAATGCATATAATTTAAAAAACTTCTAAACATTACAGATGGGAAATGTGGGTTCAAATCCCAGCTTACGATTCATTTAGTAGCTGTGTGACCTTGTGTGAGTGGACTTACTTCTCTGCACCTGTTACTTCAAATGGGGATCATTAGAGGGCAGTAAGTGAGCCACACCAGTTACCATGGTTACCATGACCAGCTGGAGCATCGGCAACCAGAGTGGCTCTAGCTGAGACTCGTCTCTGTGTCTCACTTTCCCATGGGTAAATGGGCTGATTTCTCAAGGCCTTCCCTGTTGGGAGGGTCTTCAGTTCTGTGTAACCTTGGCTGAGCGGGCCCCAACAGCGAGCAGGAGGGAACCCACCTTCTTGTCTTTCTCCTTGGCCTTGTCCAGGGCCTCCTGGGCACGGCTCTGGGCCTGACGTGCCCTCTCGGCCTCTGTACGAAGACCCCGGAGCTGCTGCTCAGCCGTGGCCAGCTGGGCCTCGGCCGCGTGCCTCTCGCTCTTCATAAACAATGCCTCACGCTGCACCTGTGGCCCAAGCCCACACGTGACTCTCGGGACATTTAGACTCAAAGAAGCTTGGTTCCAGGGACTCTCCCCACCCTTCCACACAGAGCTAATGGCTTTCCTCTTCCAAGATGATTCTGGATTCCCACCCCACCCTAGGGATATCGAGGTCCTGCCATGCACCTCTGGCTACTAGGTGTGTGTGCCTGGACAGGTAGTTAAGCCTCTCTGTGGTTCAGCTTTCTCAGTTGGTGGTGCAAGCCCGAGATCCTGATACTCAGGAGGCTGAGGTAAGAAGGTCAGCAGTTTGAAGGCTACATCGTGAATTCAAGAACAGCCTAGAAAACTGTGGAAGACTCCATCTCAAAACACACACACCATCCCTTGTAAGAAGTTTGTGTTTGTTTGCATTGTTTTGTTGAGGCAGGATTTCCATGTACAGCGGTGCATCACCAAGTCTGCTATAGTTTTCAGCTCAGATGGGTCTCGGTGAGTAGGGCGCTAGCCCAGCATGCACCAGGCCAGTGTTAACAGGTCCTGGTAAGACCTGTCATCAATGTCATTGGGAGGTGGAGGCAGGAGGGTCATGAGTTCAAGATCAGCCTTGACTATTTGATTCTCTGTTATAAAAACAACCCCCCACCAAAAAAAGGGGGAGAAGGCCAGGGCTTGGGGTCAGCTCAGCGGGTAAAGGCGCTTGCAGTAAAGCTTGGCAGTCTTAGTTTGGTCCTCAGGACACTCATGGTGGAAAGAGACGACTGGGTCCCACAGGCTGCCAGCTGACTTTCCCACCATACCATCTGTGTGCACACACATAAGGAGGGAATAATAAATTAAATCTAAAAAGAAATATTAAGGGCTAAAGAGATGGCAAAGGGATTAGAGCACTGGCTGCTCTTGCACAAGACCTAAGTTCGGTTCCAAGCACCCACATTGCGCCCCACGCCTGTAAGTCCAAAGTTCGGCGGATCGGACACCCTCTTCTGTCCTCGCGGGCACTGTGCATGTGCACTGGGTGAGGCCCCACGCCTTAAAGCAGCCTGGCGCATGCGCTCACCTGAAAGACCTCCGCGCTCGTTCTCTCGTGCCTGCGCGCCAGCTCCGCCAGCTGCGTCTGCAGCTGGGTCACCTGGTGGCGCAGCGCGCCCAGAGCCTGCTCGTGCTCGTCTGCAGGCACCGAAGTCCCGCGCATGCGCTCCAGTTCCTCTCGGGCGGCGGCGTGGGCGGAGCTGAGTTCTGCGACCCGAGCCTCCGAGTCCGAAAGCGCTTGGCGCAGCTCAGTGGCCTCCGCGCGTGCGTGCTCGCCTGTGGCCGTGGCCGTGGCCAGCAGCTCCCTCAGCGCCTCCAGCTCGCGGCTCCGCCCCTGTGCCGCCTCCTCGGCCTCTGCCTCAGCCTCCGCAAACCGGCCCCTAGCGGCCTCCAACTCAGCTGCGGCCTCCCGCTCACGTCTGCGCAGCGCCTCCTCCAGGCCGAGGATCCGGGTCTCCAGCTCGGCCTGCAGCGCCGCCGCCGCCGCCCCCGGGTGCAGGACCGCTGCGCAGGGGCCCTCGGTGCGGGTGGTCCGGGCTTCCGTGACCTTGAGTTCTATTGCCTCAGCTCCGTTGGCCTCTGTCAAGTTGGCCTGATCTCCTGTGGTGTCTGCAGCTGTGGCCTGTGCCCCAGTGGCCTCTGCTCCCATGGCTTCCAGGATGGTGGCCTGAGCTCCCGCAGCCTCGGCTCCCTCATCCTCTGTCACAGTGGCCTGCTCCCTGGTGACTTCTGCTGCAGTGGCCTTGACTCCAATGGCGCCTGTATCCATGGCCTGCACTCCTATGACCTTCACTCCTATGACCTCTGCCACTGTAACCTGCACTCCCGTGGTCTTCACTGCCGTGGCCTCTGCTCCTGTGGCCTGAACTCCAGTATCCCGCAATTCCGTGGCCTTTACTAATGTGGCCCCCACTCCTGTGGCCTCCATGTTACTAATCCCTGTACCCGTGAGCCCCTCCTGCACCACATGCACTCCATCAGCCTTCATTCCAAGATTCTCTTTCCCTCCTGTGGCTTCTGCCGCCACCTGCTCACTTTCAGCATTGTTACCTACAGCTTTCATGTCTAGGGCCTGAAGCACAGTGGTTTTAGTGTCCACGGCGTCGGCTGCCACTCCATCCTTCCCCATGGCCTCTGGTCCTGCAGCCTCAGGCTCTTTGAGTGCCGCTTCTGAATAACTGGCTTCTGTGTTCCTGACACCCAGGGAGCCTTCTGTTTGGAGTTTAGTGCCATTTGCTGTGGTTTCTGGATACGTAATGCCGTTGACCTCCGGGACGCTGGGACCATTCTGGGTGGAGGTCCCCTTGTCCTTCCTTTCCTTATGTGCTATATCTTCTCCCTCATGACCCCTGGTCACCTCCTGCTGCTGCTGCTGTGTGTTCATGGCCTCTGCGTGCTGCCTCCGGAGCTGCTCAAGCTCTGTACGCAGGAGGTCATACAAGACCAGAGGGACTACCTCAGGCTGACTGTCTTCCGCCATCTGCACCTCGTCCTTCTCAAACTCCTCAAGAATCTGGGGATGGGGAGTCAGGCAGGCTAAGGGGCCTACTCACCATGTTCCCCGCCCACCCCAAAGTCCCCAGAGCTGTGCACTGCCTCGGTTTCCCTACCTGGACCTTCTCCAGCAGCTCCTGGTTCTGCCTGGTGAGCTGAGCCACCTGCTCCTGCAGGGAAGCCACCAGCCCCTCGGCCTGTGGACGAGGGTGCTTTGACAACACATCAGCTCCTGGCAAGATCGGAGAGAGCAGTCAGGCTGGGAATACACACCATTAGGGACAGGGGTCAGGAATCATTCAGCAGGAGACCCAGCACTGCCTCAGGAAAGTGGGGGGGGGGGGCTCAGTGCATGTGGCACTCCTGGCATCACAGCCTCCATTCAAGGTCATGCCTCTGCCACACCCAACCCCTCAGAATCCCAGGTGGGCAGCAGTGAGGGGGTGGAGGGGGCCAGAGCTCACCTGGAAAGTCAGACATGTCCCCCTCCTCGTCCTGCAGGGTGGCCACATCATAACTGGTATTCTCTTTCTCATTCTAGGGGTGGAGTTCAAAGTCTACCTCCAGGTCTTGTCCCTTGATACCCCCATTACCTCCCAAAACTGGGTTGTTCATATATCTACACAACACCCTGGAGACACCTGGCTAGTTGTGGCTGTATTCATTGAGCATCAATATGCCTTTCCATGTTCTACTGAGATGCAGGGGTGAACCAGGGCCTTACACACACTAGGCAAGCACTCAACACTGAGTCACATTCCCAGCATATGGTCAAGGATCTGAGTTTGAATCCCAGCACCTCACCAATAGAAGATCATCTCAGTGCATGTTTGTGTAATTATTCACTTACAAAGATACGTTATTTTCTTACCAGCAGGAAGTAGTTTGGAAAGAACGACGCCCAAATTCCCAAATATTGTGTATAAATGTTTGTTTTCATTTAATTGGACTTTGTTATATAAAATTAAATAAAAAAATAAATAATAATAATAATAAAAAGATATGTTATTTCTTCCTTGTGTGTCTGCACGGGGGTCCACTAATGCTACCGTGCATAAGTGGCTGCCAGAGAACAACTTGAGACTTGTTCTCTCCTCCCAACGTGTGGGGAAGTGAACTCAGGTCAAGAGAGTGGACAGTAAGCCACTTAATCGGCTGGTCCATCTCGATGATTCTAATTGCACACTTTGAGCAGTATAAGGTAGGTTTGAGGGGTGTGGTACATGTGTGATTGGGAGATTTATACATGGGAGGTATGTGGGATTTGTATGTCAGTGTGGCTGCCATCTTTGTATGTGTGTGTTTGGACAAGTCTTCATAGGTATGTGGGTTTGTGTGGCCAGGACATCGTGGATGCACCATGGTGCCTCGATAAAGCTCTGACTGACACTCACCCCACTTGACAAGTTCCACTGGCCCATCCTGGCCTCACCCCCTCCCCCTCGGTCTTTCCCATTCCTCTGCTATGGCCCCCAGCCCCTCCCAGCATTCCCCCTTATACTCTGATGATGGCCCACCCCACCCCTACCCTGACTTTGTCCTCAGACTTGCCCCACATCTCCACTTCCATTCCAGGCTCCAACCCCACCCAGCTTCTGGCCCCACCCCCAGTCTTGGATCCCAGCCTGCCCACCTTCTTGCCCTGTCCCCATGGCAGCACCCTAAGCCCTCCCCTTCACCTCCAGCAGGGACAGGCGGCTCTGCAGACTCTCCACCTCCCGGCCCAGGTTCTCCTTCTCCTCCTGCTTCTCCGCCAGCAACTGCTGCAGCTCCTGCACCTGCAGAGGCCAATGTCAGCACTTAAGGACCTGAGGACCCAAGTCCCTGGACCCTGAAACTGAAGACCCTGGACCCTCCCAAGCAGTGGCCCGCCCCACCTACCTGCCTCTCCAGGCTGTGGACTGAGCTGGCCTCTGCTTCCAGGGGCTGAGGGTAGAAGTGGTTGGAACTGGATGGAGCTGGACAGAGCTGGATAGCCATGCGCCACGTAGTGTCTGTCAGCCATGACTCTATTGTCCGCATACACTGAGCACCTACTGTGTACCACTCCACCTGGGCTTTCACGCTGTGTGCCACAGCCCGCTCTGTTCTCTCACTCACTCAAGGTGCTTTGGCCCAGGGCCTGCTCCATAACAGACCCTGTTCCAGGCCAGTCATTCATTCACCCACTCCTCCACATGGGCCAGTCACTTATCCACTGTTTATCACCTCTGAGCTTGGCACCTTCACCTGAGTGTGCCCTCAGGGGCGTGCCTTTGAGCAGTGAGGCACTATGGTGGAAATGAAGGAAGCTGAAAATGAGGGTGTGACTTTACATAAGGTGGGCTGGGGAGATGTCGGTCGGCAGGTAACAAGCAGAGAATAGGAAGAGAGCCTTGGGGACAGCTGGACAGACAGCAATTCTCTACTGCAAACACCACATGCAAAGGCCCTGGGGCAGGACAGAGCCTGGCATGTGGGAAGGCCAGTGAGGGGCCAAGTGTCTGGAGCAGAGAGAGAAGGAAGGGGAGGAAGTTAGGGTGTGGTGTCCCAAGGAATAGCTCACCCACACGCAGACCACAGGCCGTGCAGCCTCCTAACCTCCCTTCTCCTCTGTTCCTTGTGCTGTTCCAGGCCCCTGATCTTCTGCAGGAGATGGCCTCTCTCTTGGCGCAGGCGCATAATCTCCTCATAAGCTTCCTGATCATCCTGTCCCCTCCCCATCGGCGGAAGTCACTTTAGGCGAGGTATCCAGGGCTGCACCATCCTGAGTGTGAGGCAGAGCCCCCTCCCACCCCAAGCTACCCCCACCTCTTACGGGAATGGATGTGCTGGCTGGAGGCTGGGGTGCCTTCCGCTTCTTGGGGGCCCCTCGTTTTTCATGGCTGGACACAGAGTTCTGGTGTGGGCACAGGGGGACACAGGACACGGGGCCTGGGCCAGGATCCACTCAGGGGATGCAGTGTGACCAGCCCCCAGCTGTCAGCAGCCCCAGCTCCTCCCTGCTTTCTTGTGATTGACCCCAAGTTCGCCCCACTCGCCCTACCTCCCACCATTGGCGATGCGCCCTTTCCCTGGCTCTGTTGTCCTCTGTGACAGTTTCTGTCCCTGTGAAGCCCGAGACACAGAAGACCCGAGGCGGGGGCGTGGAAGTGGCCAGGCTCATATCTCCCTCTGCCTGAACACAGTCCTTAGTAACCCCCATCCAGGCCCCAGTCTCTGTCCCTGTGTAGGATTGCTGGTATTCCCGTGACTGCCACTGGGTGGCAGCACGTCCAGGAGCAGCGGAACACAACTGCTGTCCTCGTGGGTCTCTCTTCCTTTTGGGGTTGGGGGGGGGGGAATAGTGAGAGTGTGGATGATGCAGGGGACTGTCAGCCTTCCAGGTTCCTACCTGAGACGAGGCCTCTCCGGAGTCTTCCTCTAGAGAGGCTGGGAGAGAGGGGGAGCAGAGTCAGGGACCCAGTTCTGTGTTCTCAGCTCCAGAAAGGCCGCTGGTCAGTCCCGGGTCCCTCCGAGGGCTCTGCAGCTCCCAAGAGCTAGTATTTTTGTTGTTGTTGTTCTGGGTTGGGGAGGGTTTCACTATGTAACCTAGGCAACCCACAAACTCAGATCTCACTTCTCTCGTCCTACACCTTAAAGCCAAGCCTGTGAATCAGGAACATTAAATTAAGGTAGAAACCTACAGGGGTGGAATCCCGAGTAAGGAGGGCCTCAGAACTCTCAGGGCAGTGTAGCTTGGGAAGTTTCCATACTAAGGGTGACCCAAGAAATCACAGTGGACCTTCAGACCACTCTTAAGTCCTCTGGGGCCCCTTGAAACTGCCCTGAAGCAGGGGAAAAGAAAATTTTCATGACCTAGCAGATCGGGGTACCTTGAAACTATCAGTAACATGCAAAGAAGGGGATGACCAGAAACTGCCTAGAAGGAGACAGGTAAGAAGGGCAGGGCTTGCACACCACTGGGAGGTGAAGGGTGCTGCACAGACTGCTGTAGAAGCTGCAAGATGAGCTTGTCCCCAGTCAGGGCTCCGTAGTGGGTGGCGTTCTGGCCCAGTACATCTGTGATGCCCGGCTGGGCTCCACCCTGCAGGAGCACTTCAACAGTCTTGGGACTGCCCCCCTCACACGCCAGCATCAAGGCTGTCCTGTGGGGGTAAGGGGGATGCTGAGGGGACAGGGGCTTATCCCCAATCCCCTAAACCCTACTCTACACACAGTCCAGGAAGACACTGAAGAAGCTTCCTAGTTCCCCAGCTCAGAGAGGTCCAGATAACTGCTCCAAGTCACACAGCATATGATGGAAAGGTCGGGAGGGGAGGAGCTCACCTGCCTTGCAGATCCTGGTCATTTGCTGCAGCCCCCTGCTGTAGAAGGAGACGGCACAGATCTGTGTGACACATCTGGGCTGCTATGATGAGGGGTGTGGCACCCGACTGATAGGGAAGATGAGATGGCATGAGTGATGGCTACCCTGGAGACTCACCCCACGCTTTGCAGATGATGCCTGGTGGCTGCCACCAAAAAGATAGTGTTGTACCCCACACACACCACAAGATCCCAGCAGCTCACCCGATCCCGGGGATTCATGTGTGCCTTGAAAGAGCAGAGCAGCTGTGAGCAGGACAGACAACCGCCAGCCGCTGGGAAAGACAGGAGACAGAAAACTGGGTGGAAGAGGCAGCTGCCTGCTGTGACACATTAATGTTTATTGCTGAGACAAGGTCCCAGTCTGCAGCCTGGGCGGCTCTGGAACTCACTCTGCAGCATGGCAGCTAACACCGGTCATGCCAGCAACTGGGAGGCCCAGGAGGAAAGATGGCTGCACCTTAGAGGTCATTCTGAGCTACAGAATGCAACCATGACTCAACTAAAACCTCAAGGCAGGAACAATGATCAGTGGTTAGAGCACTGGCTACTGCTGCAAAGAACCGGGGTTTGATTCCCAGCATCTACATGGCAGCTCACAACCATCTGTAAATTCAGTTCCAGGGGACCCGATGCCCCCCTTCTGGCTTATCAGAGGCATACATGCAAGCAAAATACTCATCACATAAAAAAAATTGTAAATACATGTTTTTTAAAAAAAAAAATTAAAATCATCCAGGCAGTGGTGGTGCATGGCTTTAATCCCAGCATTCAGGAGGCAGAGGCAGGCAGATCTCTGTGAATTCAAGGCCAGCTTGGTCTACAGAGTGAGTTTCAGGACAGCCAGGGCTACACAGAGAACCCCTGTCTCAAAAAAAAAAAAAAAAAAAAAAAAAAAAAAAGGCAAAGAAAATATTTTAAATCAAACAAAACAACTTTTTTAAAACTGGGCCAGGAAGATTACTCAGTTGGTAAAGGCACTCGCTGCCAAGCCCACTGACCTGAGTTCAATCCCCAGGACACACCTGCTGGGAGAGAGAACCCATTCCCAAAAGTCATCCTCCAACTCCACACAAGCACCTGACACAGATGACCCTACCTCCACAATAAACAAATCAATGCAATTTGTTTTTTAAGACACCCCTTAGTGTGGGAAGACACACCTCAGGTGGGATGGACACCACCTGAAGATGCCACTCTGACTGGGGACTTAGTGACTAACACCCCCAGAGCAAACCCAAGTGTCCTGTCCCCTGGAGCAGGAAGTTCTGCCTGGAGGAGTCTGCAGGCCTGGACCCTGTCCTCGTGGGCTCCAGCAATCAGTCCTTGGCTGTTCTGAGGACACAGTCCAGGAGATTCTGGAAAGAACTGGGGTTCTAACCACCCTACTTTATCCATCCACAGGCTAGGCTTTGGGGTCCAAGAAATAGGGTTTCCCACTGGCGCATGTGCCTAAATTCTTTGTACAATGGGGCAAAAGGCCTGGTTCCGATGGTGCCTGCGGCTCGAGCTGAGCCCCGTGCTGCACACCAAACAAGCAAAGCAACTGAAGATGATGGTCCCCATCTGTCTCCCAGCAACCAGGAGGTTGAGGCAGAAGACCCCCAACTTCAAGGCTAGCCTCTACTACAAAGAGAGATTCTGTGTCAAAATAAGTAAGGAACAGGCTGGGAAGATGGCTCAGTCTATAAGACACCTGAGTTCCATCCCCAAAACACACATAAAAGTCAGGTGTGGGGGTGCATGACCCCAGCACCGGGAAGGCAGAAGCAAAAGGACCCAAGGTTTACTTGTCACCTAACCTAGCTTAACTTGAGGAGGCCAGGTCCAGAGAGCCCCTGTCTCACATGAGGTGGGAGGCCCTGACATAACGCTGAGATTACCATACACATGAACACACATCCATAGACACTAAGAAAAAGATCTGGAGCTGCAGGTCAGAGGGAGGCCCTGTCTAGAATACCCAGTGAGGGACAGGGGGCATGTTTCACTGGCAGAGAACCTTCCTTGAATTTGGCAGACCCTGACTGCACTCACCTGCATGGTGAAGGGCTGTCCACCCACTGCTGTCCTCAATGTCCACCACGCAGGAAGCCTGGGAAGGAGTGACAGGTGATACCATCTGTTTCCTGAGTGACTGATTTCTGGGCCTCCCTGCTCCCTTGGGCTCTGCTGTATCTCAGGCTCTTTTCTTTATATTTCCATTGCCTTTGTTTCTATGTGTGTGTGCATGCTTGCACTTGGCACTGCATGTTGCTGAGAATGGAAGACGACCTGAGGGAGTCATCAAGCTTGGGGCAAGCACTTCTGCCTGGTGAGACATCTCACTGGCCCGCAGATTCATTCTCTTTAAGACCGTGTGTGTGTGTGTGTGTGTGTGTGTGTGCGCGCGCGCGCGTGTGCGCTCTCGCGTGCACATGTGCGCGTATGCATGTTCGAGCATGAGTACCTGAGGAAACTGGAAGAGGGGGTAGGGTCACTGGGATGTGGAGTTACAGATGGCTGTGAGCCTCCATGTGGGTGCTGGGAACCCTGGTCCTCTGAGACCAACCAGTGCTCTAACCACTGAGCAACCTCTCCAGCCCCTCTGGCTCTTTCTTCCCCCTTCCCCATCTTCCTACCTTGAGAACACATCTTCCAGCCCCCCCCCAGGTGACCCTACTTGAATGACAGTAATAGAAGGGACAGAACTGGGGGACCAGGAACAGCTGGGGTTTGGGGAAGTAACTGGAGTTCTGTGTGAACAGAGAATGAGCATCAGGACCTCCAAGAGTTGCTTCAGGCACTCGGGGTGCCCATACTTGGCTGCCAGGTGAAGGGCATTGTAACCTGAGGGAAGAAGAGATGGGAAGTGTCCTCCAGGTGTGCTCAGCCCCCTCCCTAGCCTGAACTTCCAAACTCAGCTACTTCTTAAAACCAGCTGTTCCCGTAGACCTATTTGTGCAGTCTGTTGTCTTTCCATACAGGGTCTTATTTTGTAGCCCAGGCTGGCCTGGAACTCACAAGGATCCACCTGCCTCTGCCACCCAGATGCTGGGATTAAAGGGCAAGTCTCATACAGGCCAAGCTGGCCTCCAGCTCACATACAGCTGAGCATCACTAGAGCTACTGATGCCTGTACCTCCGCACAGAGCTGGGATGACAGGTGTGTGCCAGTGGTGTGGAGGATGCTCCTACTGTTGGCCCTGTGGTCCCTGCTCTGGACAGCTGATCCAGCCCTGCCGTCCACCCTAGAAGTCTAGAAGTACCTGCTCCATCTGTACTCATGACATCTGAGCCTTGAGCCAACATCACTTCCAGACAGCCCGATGCACCCCTCATGGCAGCCAAGTGGAACCTAAAGGCATAAGTTAGGGGGTCAATCCCAGAAGAGTGTCCAAAGCCACCCCGGTCCCAGGGCTTGGGCACTCACGCAGACTTGCCCTCGGGGTCCAATTTCGTGGGCACCAGCCCTTTATGGGCAATCAGTGAGGCCACTCTGGCTGCATCATTGTTCTCCACGGCCTGGAGCAGGCGCTGATCACTTTTGCCCCAGTCTTGGCCCTGCAGTGGCACACCCAGAGGTGCATGGGACTGAATGGATCACTGTCTGCTCCCCACCAAGGAACAGGGGCAGTTGCTCCGAGTTCTCACCCACCCACTCCTGGGCACTTGCCTGGCGCCTGCCTCTTGCTGTGGATTTCGGGATAGGGCACGGACCACAAGGCGGGCAGGAGCCGAGGTCGGCAGAGCTGAGCCGGAGCTGTGGGGTAAGTGGTCCTGGCTGGGAGCCTCGAGACATCGTCTCTGAAACCTGCATCTCCCAGCACGTGTCTGCAGACCCACCCCCACACTGTCTTCCAAATGTCAGTCCTCAAACCACCTCCCCTCGTTGTAACTTAAGCCAAAGCCAATTTTATAAGACAGCGCCCACCTTTTTTGTGGGAGGCAGCGGCTAACTATATAGATCAGGATAGCTTCCTCTGCCCCCAAAGTGCTGGAATTAAAGGCAAGGTCTCCAATGCCCCTGCTGGTTTTGATTTTTGAGGCAGGATGGGGTGCCATGTAGCCCATCCCTGTGAGTCAGGGATGACCTTGAATTCCTGATCTTCCTGCCTCCCCGCTCCCCAGGGCTGGGATGACAGGTATGAACCATCACACTGGTTTACATAGTGTTGGGGAAGGGAGCCAGGGCTTTGTGGGTGCTAGGCTTGGCCCACTGACCCAAAGCCCCACCCCTCGTCTTAGTTTTTTGAGACAGAGTCTTACTATGTGATCAGACTAGCCTCAAATTAAAGATTCCTCTGCCTCAGCCTCCCAACACTTGGGTGACCGGACTTTCCCAAAACATCCTCCAGCGCCACTTGACCCCACAACGCGCCCCACCCCCACCCCCGCGTTTCACAGCTCTTCTGCCAGGGTCTCATCGTCGTCGTCCCTCCCCCCCCCCCACCCCCTAGCATTAAGGCTTGGCCGGCAGAGCTGCAACCGCAGATGTTCCTAAACTCCCTGCCCAGGAGCATGGACTGTTCCCAAGTGTCCTACAAGACCTGCACCCTGCAACACCGGGCTGACCCCGCGCCCGCACCGAGGCCCTCGGCGCAGCCCTCCACGCCCAGCCTACGCCCCGCAGCTTCCCTGCTCCCCGCCCCGGTCGAGCATCTTCCCCGGGAAGGAGGGGAAGGCGCAGAGGGATCCAAACGCCTACCGTGAAGGAGGCGGCTGCGCATAGGCACAGCTGCTTCATGGTGAAAAGGTGGGGACAGAGCCAAACAGGCCCACACCCACCTCCCCTACACTCGTGGCCCCGCCCTCCTCCTCAGGCACAGGACCCGCCCAGCTCCTCCCCCAGCTCAGCCACGATCCTGCCTGGCAGGTGACCCGTCATTCATTGGTCCATCATCTCCCAGTCGTCTACTCATTCATTCGTACATTCAGGCCTATCTTTTCATTCATTCGTTCAGACATTCATTCTCTCGTTAATTTCCTCACCCCCATTCACTAACCCATCTTTTCATGGGCACATTCAGGGCGCACTCATCCCTTCACCCACTCACTCCTCTGGCCCACCCGTCCACCCATCCACACTGTCATCATTTGATCCCTTCCACAGGCTCTCACTCTGAACTTGAACCCGCGCCTGCCCCTCCCATATCCACCTACGGACCTGACCTGGGACTGACCTAGACCTCACCTGCGTAGCCCTCCTCACATGCGCAAATGGGTTTCATGTAGACCTGTAGACCTGTCAGACGCAGCTCTGGAGGGCCAAGCTAGCAGGACGCCCTGCCCCCGCACAGGCCTGGTACACAGTCAGGACTGCACCTCATTCACCCAACCCAGATCAACTGAAAGAGAGGGTGCAGCCCGAATTCTGTCTCCCTTGGCTGGAATTAGAGCCCTCCACGCAGGACCCACAGAGGAATCCCTCAGCCTGCCGCTGGGGGAGGGCAAGGGTCTCTGGGCACCATGTCGCAGCCCTGGGCAGAGGCTCTCCTGTTCAGGCTTTATTGAGTGACTATTGGATGCGTAGGAAACTCAGAGCCAAGGCAAGCTCTTTCCTGCTCTGTGGCTTCTGTGCGTGTAGCTGGCACTATAGAAGGTGTCTTGGGGACTGGGCAACAGTGACACTCGACAGATCTGTGGGATGTGGAGTTCCAGACAGTCAGAACTTAGGGTGAAGTGAGGAGTTCACCCAGTAGCCTTACACAGTTACTCATGTGTTCCCTAACAAGCAAATCCTGCCTCCCTGTCCCTCAACACTCTGGGCACTGGGCCAAACTTCTCTATGGAGAGATCGTGGCACATGCGTGCACGCCCCCCCCCCCCAAACACACACACAGGTGTTCCAACAGAGAGAGACAGAGAAAGAGACTATTGAGCTAGGCATGGTGGCACATGCCTTTAATCCCAGGACTCGGGAGGCAGAGGCAGGCAAGGCCAGCTTGGGCTACAAGGACAGCACCAACAAATCTTTACAAGCCTCCGAGGGGGTTTTCTCAATTAGATCAGGTCATCGAGGGGCCCCCATATAAGGTAATTCCCATTCTGGACATGAGAAACCAATGCCCAGAGCCCGCTGCGCCCCTGCCTAGCAGCTGAGATGTAGCCTGGCGCTTGGCCACCCCAGGAAGGGACCCAGAAGCCCAGGGCGCCAGGGAGGCCTCTGCAGCAGCCATGGGTGTTCGCTTTCTTCCCTTGGGGCTGCCATGACAAAAGCGGAGCTTCACTCTGGCTGCTGCAAGGAAACCAGAGAAGGGCGGGCGGGGGCGGGACAGGTCTGCCATCTGCTGCCCAGGCTGCCCCAGAGCCCCCGCCCCTCCCACCCCAACACTGCCCCTTCAGCGCCCCACGGGAAACACAGCCGTGGCCCATCCCAAGCTAGGCGTGTCTCACCAGGGATGGGCTGCAAGATTTCGAAATAATTCAGCTTCTAAAATAGACATGTCTTTTTTTCCCCCACAAGTTTCTCTGTGTAGCTTTGGAGCCTGTCTTGGAACTACAGAGATCTGTCTGCCTCTGCCTCCCGAGTGCTGGGATTAAAGGTGTGCACCATCACAGCTGGTCTAATTCAGCTTTTCAGTAAGCATTTTCCCCTTTGATTTAAAGAGTACATTTACGGGGTGCGTGCCCAGGTGCATGGAGGCAGAGGTCAGAGCACAATTCTGTGAAGTCATTTTCCTCCTTCCACCAGTGGGTTCTGGGAATCAAATTCAGAAGAGATACTCGGTGATTAGCGCACGGGCTGCCCCTGAAGAGTACCCGGGGTTCGGTTCCCAGCACCCATATGGGGCTCACAACCGCCTCTAACTCCAGTTATGGGGACCCGACTCCCCTTCCGGCCTCCACAGGTACTGCACACACGGGGTGCACAGACATGGATGCAGGCGACACTCATACGCAGAAAATGCTTAGCTGCAAGCACCTTTCCCCACTGAGCTATCTTGCCAGCCCATTACTAGGCTATTGCAGTGATTGGGTTTCCAACTGGCTGTGATTCTCAAGGATTCTGTGGGAAGATGTATCTGAAGAAATGAGGGACCAGGTGGAAAATGTTAGAGGGCCAGTCCAGCCTTACTGTGTAGGAAAGCGACTGCTGGATCTCACCCTCTCTGTCTGTCTCCCTTACTTTCTCTCTCTCCCTCTCTCTCTCTCTCTTTCTGTCTCTCTCTCTCTGTCTCCAAACCTTTCCATTCCCATTCCCTGTGCAAGCCACACCCACAGATGCCCAGCCCCGACAGGAGGCAGGACCCTTCTGAGCTGTGTGACTTTGCAGCTTCCACGCAGTCTCTGAGCCTCCCTTCATCTCTCAAATGCAGACAATATAAGTTCATTTCTTGACAAATCGGTGTAAGGGTGACACCAGGGCTCATGGAGCAGAGAATTGCTAAATTCAGAAGGATCCAAATGAAATCAGGAGTGGGAAGAGATTGGCGGTATCTCACTGACTCCTTGCTAGCATGTGAAAGACCCTGCTTCCATCCATCACTGGGGGAGGCCATGCTGACCACTGTGACCCAGACTGGGGATGGGAGAGCAGAGCTGGGCCATTAGAGGGAGGCAGTGCACCCATGTGCAGAGTTAGCATTTGGCTAGCCGAAAAAGAACTGGTCCATGAAGATGCTAGGACAGTTACTTGGGATACTGGGGCAGAGGGGACCACTAAAGGCAGAGCCCTGGGTTCTGACCTACAACTGGGGCTTGAGAAGGAGGTGGTACTGAGGCCCTCCCCCAGGCCTGCAGACTCACCTCTGTCTTCTTGAACCTTGCCCGGAGGGTCTTCATCACGCCGGCTGGGAACTCTGGTCCTGTCTCTGGGGAAGGGGTGGGTGCAGTGAGGGAGCATGCTGGGGAAGTCAGCCATAGCACCCTACACAGCACAGCCTTGTGCTCCTCCCACACAGCCAGCCCCACCTGGGTAGATCTGCTGCCACTCTCTCTGCTGTGTGTCCCTGTGAATGTGAGGTGCCCTCTGTGAGAGAAATGTCCCCAACTGTAAACAGAGGAGTTCATCCTTGGCCCGGTAGCTGTGAGTACACAGCACAGTCCCCAGAAGGGGCTGGTGGACAGTAAGGGCCATCACCACGACCCCATTAGCTCAAGCAGCTCTGCAGTCTTCTTGTGCAATCGCTGATGCCAAGAATCCTCCTCCCCTGCTTCTCTGTAGAACTATTCCTAAAACCCCATGTGCTGATTCTGTCTCCTAGACAGAATGAACTTTACCTCCCCAGTTGGAACTGCCTGCATTCTCCTCAGCTGGGGCACTTCCTCTGCCTTTAAGGTAGCTTCTAAGCAAGGTGCAGCTTCCAGGTTTGCCCAGTGATAAGCTTTTTACTTACTGGGGGTAGAGGGATGGAGACACCTGACAATCAGTCCCTTGTAGGAAGGCCAGTCATACTTGTGACTACTCTTGGTAAGCAAAAGCAGTCTATTCAGGGAAGACCCAACTATACACCCATCCATCACCCATCCATCCTTCCACTCATCCACCCATCCATCCACCCACCCCCATCCATTCATCTACCCATTCATCCACCCACCAACCCACCCATCCCCCACGCATCCACTCATCTACCCATCCATTCATCCATCCACCCACCTGTACATCTTTCCTTCCCCCTCTACTACTCAGTGTGACAGTTCACCCTCACCCCTAATTATAAAGTTCAGTCACACCCAAGAATGATTAACCCAGGAGAGTCGTCCACAGGTTGCCAGTCAGGATGAAATCGCGGCATGGGGGCAGGCAGGGAAGGCCTGTGGATTTAGAGGTCTACCTCCTGGAAGAGGTGACCGCAGCAGAGGCCTAGCGACAGGTGGGTTCCCACAGTGGTTCAGGGAGAAGGCTGCACATTGAGCGAGGTCCCCGGCTGTGGAGTGGGACTCGTGTGCCTGTCATGAGTGTGCGGGTGCATGTGTTCGGGGTGTTGCAAACAGCCCCCTCCCTGACGCCCTGGAGCAGTGTCAGTTCCCAGACCTTCCTTTCCTTGGGACCCAGGCCAGTGTCTGCCCTGGCCAGTCTCATCCCCCCTACCTCAGGCGTCTCCAGGCCAGAGCCCTGTGTGCACCACAGCCTCTCTGGTTACCAGCTCCAAGTGCGAGCTGCCAGCAGCAAGAGTCGGGGTGACACCTGATCAGGTTGGAGGGGCACCCTCCCAGGGGACAGGATGAGCCGAGAGAGAAGAGCTGCTATTGGCCAGCCCAAGGACTGCCTCTCCCTCTGGCCTGTGCGCTGCCGCCTCCAGGAGGCCTTCACTTGCTGCCTTTCACCAGGGCCCCGGGAGTCACCATCACCATGGCCTGGTCCTGTCTGTGACCACCATCAGGCACAGGGTTAGATGGTGCCTCCCACCGTATGGCCACGGGAAGGCGATCACAGGAGGTCCTTGTGACATCTCTCTCTGCATCTCTGGGCACCTCTGTGTAACATGTGGAACTCGCTGCGTTCTGGGGGCCTGACCCTGATGCTCTGTGCTATCCCAGGAGAAGCACCCCAGAAGCAAAGTCGAGAAAATGTTGGCAGAGGGTCCGGGGGGGAATCTGCCTACGAACCTAAAGTTCCCACTCATTCTATCCTGTGGCCCAGAGAGGAGCAGATAGAACTGACAGCCACACAGCAGAGTCTCAAAGGCAGCCCTAGGGTCTCGCGAACTCTAGACCAGCTTCGAACTCCCACCGCGGCTGTGTGCACGAGGGGCGGGGCTCTGCCCACTGAGCGAGAGACCCAGGGGTTTTTTTAATGGGTTTTGCTGCTGGTTTTGTCGCTTTTTTGAAATAGGGCCTCACTACGCAGCCAGGCTGGGCTGGAACTCGGCTCCTGCGAGCTGCCCCATCAACTTCCCGACCCGGGACAGTCTGCATCCCGGAACGCACGCGAGCCACACCGGTAGTCTCTGCCAGCACTAAAGATGGCGCCCGCGGCGTCAGCGCGGCACAGGCGCTCAGAGGAGAACGCTTCCTCCGCAACTAAGCCTCCCACATCCTCACGTATCTAGGGAAGGTGGCTCCTCTTTCCCGGCCGTCCCTTCCCCATTTCCGGCGGAAGCGGATCAACAAGGGAAACTTTATTGTTCCCTTGCGGCGGTGTCGGCGACGATGTCGGTGAATTATGCAGCCGGGCTGTCGCCATACGCGGATAAGGGCAAGTGTGGGCTGCCCGAGGTGAGGGCCGCGGTGTCCGGGTCCCCGAATGACCCCAGACGGGGGAGGGGGGGCCCGGAGGAGCGGACATTGTGGGAACAGCAAGAAACACAGATAGATAATGGGAAGGACTTCCCGGAAAGGAGGGGGCGGGAAGTCCTGGGTGACACAGGGGCGCCCAGGTCTGGGAAGCAGTGAGGGGCTAATAGGAACGAGACCCAATCGCCAGCCCGGGGAGTGGGCGCTTTAATTCCAGGGTGGCGGGAAGCGACACGGGTCTGCGGGACGAAAAGCCGGCACCGCCTCCTGGAGTTCGCCCCTGTACCCCACCCCTGTAAGCCAGGCACACCTCGATGAGGTGGGGTCGGAAGGACCCCGAGGGTGGGGCCATCAGCCTTTGTTGGGTTGGGTGGGAGTGGGAGAGAAGTCTCTTTGTAGCCCAGGCTGGCCTCGAACTCACAGAGATCCTCCTGCCTCTGCCTCCCGAGTGCTGGGATGGCAGGTGTGCACCACCACGCCCAGCTTGTCTTATGTTAATGGAGCCTGTAGACATATCTGGCTGCATCTTGATTTAGAGACAGGGGTTATCTAAAGTCAGGGTCCGGGTGACGTCACTGGATGTCATGGGAGCCACAACCTGAAGGGAGTGAAGGAGAGTGGGTGCCTACTGGACAGCACCCAGGAAGAGGGCTCAGCACATCAAAGGCCCTGGGTGGGGGCGAGGAGAGAGGCCACACTGACCCGCAGGAGCCTGTCCGTGAGAGGCACGTGCTGACACCTTATGCCCTCTGACCCCCACAGATCTTCGACCCCCCTGAGGAGCTGGAGCGCAAGGTATGGGAGCTGGCACGGCTGATGTGGCAGTCCTCCAGCGTGGTTTTCCACACGGGCGCCGGCATCAGCACCGCCTCCGGCATCCCCGACTTCAGGTCTGTGAACAAGGAGGAGAAACTGAGGCAGGGCTCTTGCTGGTGCCTCTGGGGTCCAAGGTGAGGTGGGAGGGCCACCTTTCCGTTTCTCTGGTCTCTGGAAGGCCCAGCAAGCACTTCACATGCCCGACAGCCAGAACTTAGGCAGGTGATGTAGTTAGTAACTGCAAGGGATGCTGGGAAGTGTAGCCTTGATGTGGCTTGGCCACCCAGTCACTGGAGTTTGCAGGAGCACAGTAACACTGCACAGTATTCTGGGAAATGGACCTCAGCCCCAATGAACTCTCAGGCCCTTGCTTACCTGGCTGCCTGTGTCTCCCTGACAGGCTAAACAACTCAGGGCTGAGGGCCATTGGGACCCCAGCACCCCCAGTGTGGACTGGCTTGGGTTAACAGGAGGAGCCTGTGGACTGGAAAATGAATTTTTTGTTCTCAGTGCCGATTTCTCATCCTCTCTCTGCTTGCTGTCCTCAGAGGCCCCCATGGCGTGTGGACCATGGAAGAGCGTGGCCTGGCCCCCAAGTTTGACACCACCTTCGAGAGCGCCCGGCCCTCGAAGACCCACATGGCCCTGGTGCAGCTGGAACGTGTGGGCTTCCTCAGCTTCCTGGTCAGCCAGAATGTAGATGGGCTGCATGTGCGCTCAGGCTTCCCCAGGTCAGATGGCAGTGGGCCAAGGGATGTGGGGCTCAGCTACACCCCTTCCTTCCCCGGGAATCAGGGTGCCTGAGCTCAGGGCATTTTAACTCGGAGCCTTCAGCAGGCCAGCACTTGATCACTGCTGGGGACTGCAGGCACGACTCCACCTTGAGCCACTCCGCCAGCCCCACACTGGTGGCATCTAGGCGGGCACTCTAAGGCCAACAGATTGTTTTGTTTTGTTTGGTTGATGGTTTTTCATGACAGAGTTTCTCTGTGTGGCCCTGGCTGTCCTGAAACTAGCTTTGTAAACTAGGCTGGCCTCAAACTCACACATCTGCCTACCTCTGCCTCCCAAGTGGGATTAATGGCCTGTGCCACCATCATCCATCTGGCCAACAGATTTTTGTCGTGGGGAGCAGGTATTTGTGTGTTTGCAGAGACAGGATCAGCTCCGCCTATCACAATTCCTCTGCCTTGACCCTGCGGGTGAGCAGCCTAGGAAGACTTTGGAGGAGGCAGGCTGAGCAGCTGGCTCAAGCCTCGTGTTTTAGGAAGGGTCCTGACTCACATTCTCTTTTGCAGGGACAAGCTGGCTGAGCTCCACGGAAACATGTTTGTGGAGGAATGTCCCAAGTGTAAGATGTGAGTGTCACATGTGACGATCAGGAGGGGTGAGGCAGGGCTCTCCCAGGACCCCCCCTGAGCCAGCTAAGGGGCCCTAAAATAGCCTTAGGGAAAGCTGGGAAGTATCCCTGTTCCTCCCTGTTCCCAGCTGCAGTCAGATAAAAACAGAGGAAGAGGAACTATGAGGAGGTAAACCCTTCTTTCACAGTCCCCCAAGCAAGAAGCTACGAAATGGGGTGACACAGGACAAGCCCTTGGAAGTGAGGGCTTCTCCCTGGCCCCCTAGCCCCCATCCCCATCCCCCACCCCCACTATGGCTCCAAGCTGAACGATACCATTGCTTTACACAGATCCTCGGGGTATTAAGCAAGAGCTGTACCCCTGAGCTTTGGCCCCTGATCCCCTCTTTAAGTTGCCCAGGTGCTGAGATCACAGGTATGAGCCATCATGTTTGGCTTAGTTGCCTTCCTCCCAGCCCCCCCCCAGGGTGGATGGCAGAGGCATCAAGTGTCTTTTTGGTATTGTTGGAGGGTTTGGTGGTTGGTTGTTTGGGATTTTTTTTTTAAGGATTTATTTACTTAATATATGAGTGTTCTGCATATATATATATATATATCCTTTATGCCAGAAGAGGGCATAAGATCTCATTACAGAAGGTTGTGAGCCTTCTGTGGGTGCTGGGAATTGAACTCAGGACCTCTGGAAGAGCAGCCTGTGCTCTTAACTGGTGAGCCGTCTCTGCAGCCCCAGCATCGGGTGTCTTAACTCAGTCCCTCTCCTTGTACTCTGAGGCACAGTCTCTCAGAACCTGTTACTTGCTGGTTTTGCTGAGTGACCAGGAAACCCCTGGGGTCGCCGTCTCAGCACCCCCAGCTCTGGGGTGGTAAATGTGCTCTGTGTTACATAGGTTCTGGTGACTCAAACTCATGATTACATGGCAAGCACTTTCCAGACTGAGCCGTCTGTCCTTCTAGCCCTCGGCCAATTGTCTTGCTGTGTACGCCAATACACTGGTTACACCACCCCCGGATCCTTGAAAGAACACTAGACTAGGCACGTCTCCATTCTTCCCCCTTATACAGGCAGTACGTGAGAGACACAGTCGTGGGCACCATGGGCCTCAAGGCCACAGGCCGGCTCTGCACAGTGGCCAAGGCAAGGGGACTAAGGGCCTGTAGGTGAGTGACTTTGCTCACACCTGTCCCTGTCAGGAGGTGATGGCCCTAACTCCCTTCCCTGACCTGCTGCAGGGGGGAGCTGAGGGACACCATTCTGGACTGGGAGGATGCACTGCCTGAACGGGACCTGATGCTCGCTGACGAGGCCAGCAGGTGTGATCCTGTGCTCCCCGGGTGGCAAGGGTGGGGACAGCTGTACAGGCATGGGACAGACCCACAGAAAGTCAGGACTCCTGGGTGGGACAGTAGAATGTCCTCTGCAGCACACACACCCTTGGGCAGGATAGGTGCAGAGGAGAACCTGGAACACAGGGATGATTGGAAGCTTTGTTTGGTTTCTTGTTTTCAGGGTTTCTGTGGTACTGGGGAGAATACTGGGCCTTGGTACACTAAACAAGCACAGAGCCGGCCTCTCACTGGGGGATTCTAGGCCGGGCTTCACCCTGACTACACCCCCAGCCCCTCACTAGGGGATTCTAGGTGGGACTCCACCCAGACCACGCCCCCAGCCCCTCATTGCTTCCTGCTCCCAGGACCGCAGACCTGTCAGTCACCCTGGGCACCTCGCTGCAGATCCGCCCCAGTGGAAACCTGCCCCTTGCCACTAAGCGCCGGGGAGGCCGTCTGGTCATTGTCAATCTACAGCCGACAAAACATGTATGTATGTGCCAGTGCCCTGCCCTGTGGCCCTGTATTCCCTACTATATCCCCTGCCCCGGCCTGACTGTCCATCACTCTGGCAGGACCGTCAGGCTGACCTACGCATCCATGGCTACGTGGATGAGGTGATGAGCAAGCTCATGAAGCATCTGGGGCTGGAGATCCCCACCTGGGATGGACCTTGCGTGCTGGACAAGGCCCTGCCACCCTTGCCACGCCCAGCTGCACCCAAGACTGAGCCCCCTGCACATCTCAATGGCTCAGTGCACGTTGCGTGTAAGCCAGAGCCCAACAGCTCTGTACCCCACAGGCCCCCCAAAAGAGTAAAGACCGAGGCTGCCCCCAGCTGACCGGGGTGTGTGGGGTGGGAGGGGTACTTGTAGGAACCACACACGTTAGGATTTTTTGTTTTGTTTTTGTATGCTGAGGACTGAGCCTGGGCTTGCACACACCACACCCCGCCTTTTTCAGAAGTTTCCTTGAAATCTGGGTTTCCTAAGTCGCTCAGGCTGGTCTTGAACTCACAGCTGTAGCCCAAGCTGGCATAGAGCTTGCGCCCTGCTCTCCTCAGCCTCCACAGTGGCAAGGGTGGCTAGCGGATGCCACCAGGCCCAGCACAGCTCCTTGGGAGTCTCACTGTATCCCTTGTCCGCGTCCCTCCCGGGAATCTCGGGACACTGGGAGAGGCTGTGTCCCAGGGCCGAGGATTCACGTGCCTATCTACCTGCCACACCCCACTTGTGACTCAGGATGTGCCCAAGCGGTAGCCACACACTCCACCTGCCACCCCTTGATCCAGAGCCACCAGGAACCCATCTACACTAAGGGCCCCAGGCTTCTGGAAACCCCCAATGCAATAAACATGGAATTCCTTTCTTTTTTTTTTAATTTATTTTATTACATTTACTTATTTCCTTTGTGTGTGCACATGTACATTTATGTGTGTACAGTATTAGGTTCATGTGTGGAGGTGACAGGATGACTTGAAGGAGTCAGTTCTCTCTTTCCACCATACGGCTCCCCAGAATGTAACTTAGCCATCGGGCTTGGCTGCAAGTACCTTTCCCAACTGAGCCCTCTTACTAGCCGCCAGTCTCCTTTATTTGCCCGAATGTGTTAGAATCCCCAGCCAGCCCAGACTACATGAAACTCTGTCCCAAAAAGTTAGATCTTTCTGGAGTCACCCCACCCCAACATGGCCAAATCCATGGAGTCGACCATCCCTGAAACACCGGTCCCTCTGCAACTGTCCTCCTGACCACCTTGAGGCCTGGGGACAGGTCTCCTAGAAGTCTCTTGCCCATGCATACTTGATTTTTTGAGACAGGGTCTCACTGAGCCTGGAGCTTTCCCGTTAGGCTAGGCTGGCCCTCGAGCCCCAGGTATCTCCATGTCTCCACTTCCCTGGCACATGGCTGCCTGATAACTGCAGAGGGTGTCAGATCCCCAGGAACTGGAGCTCGGATGGTTGTGAGCTTCCATGTGGGTGCTGGGACTCAAACCCCGGTCCACTGGATCGTCTCCCCAGCTCCCTGCCCCTAATACACTGTTCTTTTGAGACAGGGTCTTGGTAAGTATCCCTGGCTGACCTGGAGCTCACAGAGGTCAAAGGCGTGGTCCTTATGCCCTGCCATTTTTTTATATGTTCTGGGCATTTGAGCTCAGGTTCTCATGCTTACACTGACCCATGTCCCAGCAGCTCATAGGCATCTGCTTGGTCAACACAGCCACTGTGCCCAGCTTGACGCTGTGTCAAGGTCGGAAGTGAGGACACTCAGGCTTTCCCACTGTCTCCTTGTGTCCGTGTCCCCATCCCACCCCACCCCCGACTTTCTGTTGTATGTTTTTACACTGTGTGAAATATATTGCTGTGATTGGTTTAATAAAGAGCTGAATGACCCTAGACAGTAGGCCGGCTTCCAGGCAGAGAGAGAAGTAGGAGATGAACTTAGGCACACATCAGACACCAAGACATGGAGGGAGTTGGACATACAGAATGAAAAAGGGGAAAAGCCTCAAGGTGAAACACTAATATAAATGGGTTAATTTAAGTTATAAGAACTAGTGGGACAAGCCTTAGCTAAGACTGAGCTTTTATACTTAATAAAGGTCTCTGTGTCGTTATGTGTGAGCTTGCTATGGCTCTCTTTCTCTCCCATCTCTTGCTGTCTCCATCTGTCTCCCTGATACCTGGTCAGGGGTTCCATCCCACTACAGCTCTCAGTCTTTAGGGGCTGAGCCTGGAAAACCAACCAGTGACCCGCAGTCACTGTATGCAATGTTATAAAGTTAATCAGGGGAGCAGGAAACTGGGCACTTGGCCAATAAGAAGCATAGGCATCACCAGCTCGGTCCAGTCAAGTTCAAGGTGGGGGATCGTGAATGCTGCCCTGGGAGTACCAATGGACCCTGCTCTATCCCCACCCCCACCCTCCACTTTCCACCACTTGTCTGGTGGAAAGACACCACAGAAATGTTCAACATGGAGGCATCTTTATACACTTCCAAATCTTCATCTGGACCAGGAAGTCCCCCATCTCCACCTTGAAAGACACAGTTTGAACCCAGCAAAGTCTCCATACAATGTTTATCCCTCACGGTTCACCCTGGACACAGCCATCCAATGCCAGGACTGAGATCAGGCTTACAGGTGTCTGTCTGCACTGGAGAGAAACTCCAAATACATGATGTCACCCACTGGAGCCATCTATGTAAGGAGTGTAAGGGGCCATCAGCCATCCCTTAGCTTTCTGAAGACATGGAACCAAGAGAGATTCTGTGAATGTCAACAGTATGGGAAAGCCTGCATTCATCTTCAGTCTTTTCCGACACAGGAAAGGACCCCTGAGAAACCCTATGGATGTGAGCTGTAAGGGATGTGCCTTCAGGCATCTCTCACCCCTTCTGGTGCACATGAAGGCCCATAAAGGAGAGTAAGTAGCTCTGTGAATGTCATCAATGTGTGAGTGCCAGTATCCTTAAAAAAGCACAAGAGCCTGGGTGTTAGTGGTGCACTCCTTTAATCCCAGCATTTGGGAGGCAGACGCAGGTGGATCTCTGTGAGTTTGAGGCCAGCCTGGTCTCCAGAGCGAGTTCCAGGGAAACCTCCAAAGCAATACAGAGAAACCCTGTCTCGAACCCCCCCCAAAAAAAAAAACACACACACACACACACACACAAGAGATCATACCACAGAGAAGCCCTGTAAGTGTATACACTGTGTGGGAAAACCTTCAGCTTGTTGACTCCCAAGAACATGTAAGTATGGTTCCTGTGAATCCACCACCTAAATATGAACTGGGCAGGAAAGCATTTGGCTTCCACATATGCTTACACTAACAAGTGCACACATTGCAGAGATTCCACACGTGAGCATCCTTCATTGGCATGAACTCTCACAGCATCTCTCTGTGGAGAAACCCTATGAATGTAAGGGATGTGGGATGGACATTGTCTTTGTGTTCACACAAGAGAGCTTATAGGAGAGAAGGCCTATTGAGGCTGGCAGTATGGCCAAGCCTTCAGTTGTTCCCCTTACAAAGACATGTGTTGCAGAATATTTGTTTAATTATGCAAAGATGTGTTGCATTTGTTTAATTGTGTAAAGATGTGCTGCTGTTTTACCTTGCCTGCCTAAGGCACCTGATTGGTCTAACAAAAAGCTGAATGGCCAATTTCAATGGAGGTGGTTTAGGTGGGACTTCAAGACAGGGACAGTAAGTAGGTGGAGGAATTTAGGTTCAAAAAGAAAGAAAAAGAGGCCAGGGGCCAGACAAAGAGAAAGCAGGACAGTAGGACATACAGAATGAAAGGTAAAAAGCCATGAGGCAAAACATAGATGAATAGAAACCAATTAAATTAAGGTAAAAGAGCTAGTGGAACAAGCCAAAGCTAGGTTCAAGCTGTCATAGTTAAAAATAAGTTGTCATGTCTTTATTTGGGAGCTGGTTGGTGGCCCAAAGAAAATCCCAACTGCACCGTGAACCTGGCAGTGGTAGCACACGCCTTTAATCCCAGTGCTTGGGAGGCAGAGGCAGGCGAATCTCTGAGTTCAAGGCTTCAAGGCCAACTTGGTCTACAGATCTATTTCCAGGACAGCCAGGGCTACTACATAAAGAAACTGTCTCAAAAAACAAAGCAACCACAAAAAAAGGACAAAAGATTGTAAAAAGTAACAGGCATGCAGTGTGGGTCACCCTACTAAGGGACTCATGTACAGTATTCCACAGGCAACCGGACACCAGAGAAGCAATCCCATGAAAGTTGCAAATGTGGTGATGCCTGTGCACTTTGTGTGTGTGTGTGTGTGTGTGTGTGTGTGTGTGTGTGTGTGTGTGTTGTGCTGGGGATGGAACCTAGGGCTTTGTATGTGCTAAACAACCAGTGGGCTGCATTCATGGGTAAGAGTGTATGCACAGGCTTGTATGTGCAGATGTGCTCATACATGTATAGAGCCATGCACCTGTTGACAAATGCAGAGACTAGAAGGGGGTATCAGGGTCCATATCTATTCCTTTTAGACCAACTCTCTCCCTTCACCTAGGCCTCATGTGTTTCTCAACAAGGCCAGAAGCAAATCCAATTACCCCAAAGCCACTGCCCACTCAGAACCAGGGTTGTAGGCAGCACCAGAAAGCCAGCTTTCCCTTGAGTTCTGGGATCTCATGATCATGGAGCAAGCTCTCTTCCACCTGAGCCATCATCACTGCAGCCTCTGACATGGGCTTTTAAATTCAGCGAGGCTCGAATCATGCTTCATTTGATGTCGACCTGTCACAAATTAGAATCACGTGAGGAGGGCACCTAAAGAGCTGCCCCAGGGCTGCCGAGATGCTCAGAGGCTGAGTACTGGCTGCTCCTCCAGAGTTCAATACCTACAATGAGATCTGGTGCCCTCTTCTGGCACGCAGGGATACATATAGGCATAATATTGTGTATATAATAAAATCTTAGAGAGAGAGAGGGAGAGAGAGAGAGAGTTGCCCCAGCTGCTTGACTGGCCTGGAAAGGTCCATGCCATTGGTAGCAGTCCAGATATAGAGTTGGTCATGGGGATATTATCTCACCTTCTACTCACGTGGCCTTCCTCTGGCTGCCAGGTTGCCCTGCCCACCAATGCTACTGTGGGTTCCTTTGCTGATGGCAGGACCAGTATCCCCAAGCATTCATAATGGAATAGGGACCGTGGCTCTCCAGAAACCTTCTGGTACCAGATTGGAACTATGGAGACAGCCCACCTTGTGGACTCAATAACCCCGCTGGTTGTCCCCAGTGAGATGGCTATTGTGACATGCTGTGACAGTAAGGCTCCAGCCTCCATGACCAGTGTCTCAGTGTCTCCCGAGACACTTTGGTGGTGGCACTTTCTTAGAGATGACTTAGTGCTCATGTATGTGCGCACGCGCTCACACACACACACACACCATACACACCAGTTGTGTTCCTTTAGTGACCCCCTGACTGAAATAGCTCAGTTTCTATCCAGTGGATATTAGGAAATATCTCTTAGTGTTTGGACATTCATTCAGCTTGAGATTTTCATGAACTCAGTGTAGCAAATGTGGGAGCCCGTCCATCACATCTTCTACCTTTCCTGATGGAATTATCTTATTTATTAAAATAAATTAGAATAACTGAAGAAAGTTTTCAGTTATGAGGTGTCAGAAAGTCTGAATTATGCAAAACTTGAAAAGCAGACAGATGTGTGAATGGTCCTGTCCTGTACCCACATTTGCTGTTTGGTTTGGTGTGATGACTCGGGTTTTTTTGGGGGGGCTGTTTTTGTCAACTTGACACAAACTTAAAAGCATCGACCTATGAGGCATTGTTTGACCTGCATGGGCCCTGCCACTGTGGGGTCATCCCTGATGACCCCGGGAACCAG